GACTTCGTAGAAGCTAGCTTTCCGATCTCCTTGCCCACACCTACGAAAACACATTTATTTATTTATCTATTTATACACGAATACATACATAACTGTATTCATGCATACATCCATGCGCGCTTACCCATATACTTGCATATACAAACATAAATAATCAAAACAAACAAGCGAAAATGCATAAAATACATACATACACATATTTATTTATTTACGTATACGAAATTGCATCCGTGCAGCAAACATACTTGCAGACAAATATACATTTATACATCCACGCATAAATACATAAATAAAAAGATGTTTATATATATACATATAATATTTGGTATATACCCATTTTGGTATATATATATATATATACATTGATGAATGTATGCGGGAATTTATGTTATTTATATAAATAAATAATTGAAACAAGCAAGCATAAATGCATAAAATGCATGCATATATTCATTTATTTATATATACAAACCTTCATACAAATACTTATATATATATAATTGAAACAAGGTTTGTATATATAAATAAATGAATATATGTATGCATTTTATGCATTTATGCTTGCTTGTTTCAATTATTTATTTATATAAATAACATAAATTCCCGCATACATTCATCAATGCACAAATAAATACATGCACATACATCGGTAAGTATAATTGATGATTCTGTACGAATGTGATCGGAAGCCATTAGTAAGCCTTGAATAAGAAAGTTAGTCACTCAACGTCATGATTTAGAAAGTGATAGCAAAATTGCCCAAAACACAATAGGCCAACCACATCGAAAGGTTTGGAATGAGAGTATGCCTTTGAACCGCCAAAGGAATTCGAACTCTGGTTGTAAGCGTTGTAGTGGCACCTTGAAACTTTTTGTCCATGTCGATATGAAAATGACCAGTCAGCTACCTTGACGCCATGGCAACTCCACAACTTTCAAACTAAGCATATTTGACGTCATAGACAAACTATTCACGAGAACGTGATGCGCTTCTCCTCAACAGAATCGAGGATAGCCTTTCACTTGTAGGCCACAATTACACTTTCCTTCCAACCAAGTTGGAGCCATATTCTCTTTTTTTGCTTCTTCTTTCATCCTTCATGCAACCGGTCGACATTTGCCCCAGCCCCAGTTTTGCCAAGACATCGTGTACTGCTTTTTGGTTTCCGGGTGACAGGTTGAAGATTGTACAAGTTGGTCACAGACGATGAGACTTTTCTCTCCACTTGACACGAGTTCTGAATTAGTGTGCCTATGCTCATCG